GTGTGTGTGTGTGTGTGTGTGTGTGCAGGAGTGGGAAGGTGTGTGTGTGTCAGAGAGAGAGAGAGAGAGAGAGAGAGAGAGAGAGAGAGAGGGGTGTAGCTCAACAGGTGTATAGGTGTAACAGGTTAAGCTGCGCCTTCTTTTTTTCTAAAGAGCAATCATTATGGCATGGGCTTGACAAACCAACACGTTATCAAACTGAAAGGATTTTATATGACTTTATAAGAAGTTTAAACGCTAACATTTCTCACCCAGGACGGGACTTTGGGAGGGATTAAGGATGGAGTCATGAGTCTGCCTCAGTGCTACATGCATGACTGTGTTTAGGATACCTTCTCCTGGACTGATGATCTTTATTTCAACGCTGATATTGTCCCAGCTTGTGCACAGTTAACAGTATCTGCCGAGGAGAATGACATCTCTGCTGAACACACTGTCTCTGTGTCTCTGTGTCCTCCGGATCTGTGGTAAGAATCTGTGGCTTTTCAATGCCGTCTGTAAAAAGTGATATCATGCAGAAGTATAGTATTATTTTAAAACCTCATAGTCTGGTGTCAGATATGATATGCCATAGCGTGACCTTATTATAGGCTTTATCTCCTAAATTGTTGTGTGACCTTTAGTGTTCTTGTGTATTAAAGATGAACTACAGTATGTTATGTTTATTTACAAGTTAAGTTCTGTATGCTCTGGGCAGGGGAGCAGCTTGTAGACTTAGTGCCGTTAAAGAAAACACATGTCTGACATTTCTGGAAAAACAGGTTGCTGTTGATCAGTCCCCCCCCCCTCCTGCCTGATTCACTGCATGGACCCTCCTTGTGTGTGGCTTAAGCCTAAATGTGTGTTTACATGCTGTGAATGCAGTAATTATCTGTCAGCCTGGAAAATACTTTCTACTGCATTGTTTACAGTACATTTATTATGTACCAGTTGATCAGCCCATTATTCTTCAAAAAGGTGCCACAATTAAAACACTGTCAGACAATCAGATACTAGTACAAATCAATCTAATAAAAAAAGCAGTGTTATTCCAGTAATGCGGCACAGGCACATTTCACTGTATGGCTTAAAGCTCCAGGTGAAACACACACACACACACACACACACACACACACACACACACACACACACACACACACACACACACACACACACACCCCCACACACACACACACACACACACATTTTCATGGAAAAACACACCTGTCTGCACAGTACACTCATCAGTTCTGCTGGTAAAAGCATGAATCACGTCCAACCTGCTGACATTACTAAACTGATTCCTACACATTAGGTGCTCAGTGTGGATCAACAGAATTATGTGTGACCGACAGTATACGGTTAAAAATCACGTGTCGTTTTTTACACATTACATCAAAGTGTCATCAAAACTGCACTAAGACTAGGTTTGTGCTAACACAGGAAACAACTGTGCCTAAATGTTTTCATGTTCTCGCCTTCAATTAACTGCTGTAACTTCACATTCTATTTACCACTGCGTTTTCAGCTCTTTTTACATTTTGTAACGTCAACAGGTCAAAATGAAATTTGACAGATGTTTTGATTTATGATCAAATGACAGCAAAACTGAAGACAATCCCATCGACTTCAGCTAGAACTTCATGTTCAGCACTGATTAGCAAAAGTTTGCATGCTAACAGGCTAACACTTATTTAGCTTAAAGCAGCTGCAAGGACGACTTCAGCTACTGCGTTTCCGTCGACTTCTTTTCATATGCTTTTTCTATTTGTGAGTGATAAAAGCATGAGTTGAAAAGCCTCATTTTTTAAAGATTCAATCATTTTGCAGATTTTTTCAAAGTTGGTGTGCAATACATTGGAATGTAGACTTTAACTAAACTAAGAGTAGTTATCTTGCAACAATGCTACCAGCTATGCTAGCAACTGAACGGTGACTTTGAGATGTAGATCTTGGTATAACATTAGTGAAATTGAAAATGAAGTGAAACTGTTTGATTAAATCGCAAACAGCGGGAATAGTGATCTGAGAAAAATGCTCTAAACGTCTTATTTTTACTGATTAGCTCATTGTAGTGATAAAAACACCCGCCATATTGAATTTCAGCTTAGAAACACATGGTCTGTTGTGTTGTGGATTTAAATATCACCTGCTGAAATATGCCAGCTGTTCTCCTTCATTCTCACAATCAGGAAATGGCACCTTCTAGAAGAGATTCCCTCACCAGCAACACAAGCCTTATGCCAGGAGCAACAACATAATAGCACATTGTGATGATGTCCGGCAGTGGCTCAGTCAGTAGGGGCTTGGACTGTGAGCCT